AATATGAATATTAAATAAAAAAAATATAGTTATTTTACATATTTATTTTAGTTAATTTATAATAAAAAATAATTGTAATATAATAAGGATTTATATTATTTATTGTATATTTATTTCAAAAAGTTATTTGTGGATAACATATTTGAGAAGGATGTATAAATAAAATATGAATATTAAATAAAAAAAATAGAGTTATTTTACATATGTATTTTAGTTAATTTATAATAAAAAATAATTTTAATATAATAAGGATTTATATTATTTATTGTATATTTATTTCAAAAAGTTATTCGTGGATAAAAAAATCATATTAAAAATTTAAAACTAAAAACCACGTATTATGAAATTAAGTATCTGCGTGAATATATTGATTTATTTATCCATATTGTTGTATCTAAATCCGATTGGGATTAAATTAAAATGCTTCGCAGAATTCTGTTAGGAGTGAAACTCAGCATTGGCAATGACTCGCCGCATCAAACGCGTGCGCGAGTGTATATATGTACTATATATACGCTCACGCTGCACATCATGCTTTTCGTACTCGATAACTTCCATCGTCCACCATTAACGCTTTCATTTCTCTCTCTACAGAGATTTCTCTGCTCAGGATACTATCTCTCTGTTTTTTTTTTCTTTTTGGTTAAGTTTCTGAAAAAGCTTGAAGTCGCGAAGATGACGTCGCAGACAACAATTCGCAATGTCGTCGGGATTATCGGTTTGTGCTTCGTGTTCTCTCTACTTCGTCGTTTTTCGCCGCTTGATTTTCTGTACATGCATATTGATATGTTCATGAATTCTACAGTATTTTACTTGTTTTATTTTGTATTTGTGATCTTATGCGCTTGTGTCGTTTTTTTACTGTTTTTCGTGAATTTTTCATGTTTGTACTGTATGGGGACTCAATTGATTTGATTTCATGATTATTGATAACTGTTGAATGGCTTTTTACTGTTTTTCCTGTTTGTACTGTATGGGGACTCCATTGATTTGATTTCATGAGTATTGATAACTGCTGAATGGGAGAATGAATTGAGTTTGATTTCTCTAATGAATCATGGTGATATGCCTTTTCACAGTCTCCCGACGGTTATGGATTTGTCATTACTATTTTTTCTGGTTATTATTCAAAGCAGAAATCGTATATTCACTTTATCCTGATCTGTTTCAACTACTGAATACTATCTGTAGGACAATAGAATTAGATGTTGAATTTCGGATTTTATACCTGGCCGAGTCATATAGTATAAATTTGATCTTCTGAGTTTTGTTTTTGCTTGCAATTTGCAGGGAATATCATCTCATTCTTCTTGTTTCTGTCCCCAGTGTATGTATCTCTTTCTCTCTGCCTCTCTCTCTCTCTCTCTCTCTCTCACTCACACACACAAACACAACGAAGTTATCTACACTTCATGTTGTTAGACATAGAAAAACAACTTTACTAGAATTACTATTGTGTCATATGAAGTTATAGAACCAGGACAGTAACTAAAATAAATGATGGAAGTGTAAAAGTGTGTGTAAGTGAATAT